GGGAGACTACTAGATTGGGGGTAGTCTGGTATATATGAGATGGTCACAACGTGACGGGACAATGTGTTGGTAGTGAGTAATCGAACTGCAGTCAGAGACGTGAGACGTTCGTTGAGAATTAAAGCGTTTGTTATAGAGCGACTGTTGAAATTAAGTGTATTGCAAAGTTGTATTCAGAGAGAATAAACCAGTTTTATTTAAGAAAGGACTTGTGTCGCTTAAGTTTCGTTGGAACGAATTTACGGAAAATTAACTAACGAACAGAGACGTAACACTATATAGAAGTTTTCTGGAAGTCCACTTTTTTGGAAGAGCTTAGATGTGACGTCATTGCACGTCACTAAAAGCTGGAGACAAAATATTTAAATAATTACACTTTTATAAAGTAGTTTGTTATGAAGCATGATGTTTCTAAATAATTTTTCATTCCCACTAATTAGCTGCAGATCTAAGTTATGTTACTGGCCTTCAGCGTAGTCTTCATTCTAATTTGTGTGTAAAATTGTTGGTATTACATAACACTGTTACTAGTAATACTAGTCTTTAGAAATAGCAATACTAATACTATAGTATTGCTAATTATTATCTGTTATTAAAATATAGTTAAATACCGACCGTCTATACAGCTAATCCTAGTATTACTACTACTGGTACTAGAGTTATTTATATCTAATTATATCTATAGTTTAGTGTGTATGACGTCGTAATCGTAGTGTTACTATATGCTATCGTTATACCACTAATGCAATGGCAACTGTTAAAGTTCATTTTCAAAAACAGGGGTATTGCGAAAGAGCTCTAAGCTGTCAGGCATTTGTAAATTTTAATGTGATGTTGAGTTTTAATTTTGTTATAGCGTTTCTTTTTCATGTTCTTCAGTGTATTTGTACATAGTCTATATGGAGTGTTTAAATTTCAAAAAAGGAAACGAGAGCATAAATTAGGTTATATTATTTATATATATATCGTATATCATGAGCAATAAGTACAGTACAGGGTAATACTAATAATTAACCTGAGTGTGCGACTAATATAGCATTTGTTTTATAGCTGATTGTATTATTCTGACATTTTTTTGGACTACTGAAATTTCATTAGCAAATGTTTAGGACCCATTTGTATTTATTATGAAAAAATTAGCTTTGGGTTACATGTCACCAAATTGAAAGATGTCTGACAGAAAGGTGTATTAGCATTTCTTTTTAAGTAAGAACTGGGTTTATGAATTTGCAAATTTACCAACTAATTTTTAACAGCAGAATTAATTATTTGCACATTTCTCTAGGTGATAAATATTTTGAAGTTTTCAATGGATATTTCATTCGAAGAAGCTCACTTCTCTGAATTACCATCTCAGGGTAATATATATGGGCTTTCTTCCCTAACTGTGGGAACAACAAACAAGGTTCTGGTTGCTTCTCTTCGAAGAAAAGTTTTTTGTGTGGATTATGCACAAAGTCGTATTCCTTCTACTAGAGAAATAAATTTTACATACATTCCAGGTAATTGCATTTCTGTAGAGAAAACCATATACAGTTAAAAATATGTGCAATATATTTGTCATGTGGAGGATAGAGTCATAGGAACCAGGTGGGGGCAAGTGCTAGTGCACCCAAAAAATTTTTGAAGGCTATGTTCCATATTTGATTTTGTACAATAACTGTAGCAAGCTACTGATACGTAGGTATGCATACACATGATGACTGTGTTTGTGATTAATTGTTACCACTTCTGGACTTAAACATTGTCAGCATCTGGGGGGACTGTACCCTCTAGACAGACCCTTTGCATCTGGGATCACCAACCAGGGCAACTTCAGGTTTTGGTGCACCCGTAGGTTAAAATATTTTCCTATGGCCCTGGAGAAAATTATATATATAAATTTGTAACTTGATATATTTACATTTTTTTTTTCATAAGTAAAGTAATAAACATACTAACACTTAGGATTAATGACTGTATGAACATAATTTTAGAGCAGTAGAACTAACTGATATTTAGATTTTTAACTTAAACTTGGAATAAGTGTTAATATATTAACTGTAAGTTGGAAGAAACCGACTTTACTTTTTCTATCTCTCATAAATGTTAAAAGCTGTTTTTTATTGAAGTAAATGCATGGGTATATTCAACATACTAATCTATTTATAATAGAAGTATAAACTTGTTTTGTTTTTGGTTATTACAAAGATGAGCAAAAGAAAATGTGTATTTTTTGTAGCTGGAGCAGAAATAATCTCTGTTGATGCTTTTAACAAGTCATTAGAAAATCATGACTTTGTTATTGGAATCACTTTCATAAAGGTAAGTTGTCAGAATTAACTTGCTATATTGTAAATAGTATGTTGCTTTGTCAAAGGTTTTATAACTTTCATAAGTTAACATATTGTGTTTTACTACAAATAGTTATTTGTAAAATATCTTGCATCTAAAGGAATAGCACCAGTAATAAGAGTATTATTTGTTTTAGTCATTTTAGAAAGTGTCTTGAAATACTTCTCTGTAATTTCATATGCGTATTATTTTGGAGGCACTGACCATTAAATAGGTAAGCATCAGTGACTGGATAGTAAGAGCAGAAAATTTTAAATTGTCCAATTGCTTTGGTATGTGTGCCCATGATTCTAATACAATAGATATTTTACATATAGAATATCACAATTAGTTATTTTGAATTCCAAATTATTCTTAAAAGATATTATTTAAGTCAGTCTTATAAAATAGTTCAAAGGAATTATCTTAACAGCATAATTTATATGTATTTATAGTCACTCCCTCTTAACCTTTCATGAGTTGCTTGGTTGCAACCAATGAGGAAGAAGTATTACTTGAATGCTGTTGTTCTTCAAGTATAATTTGTTCATTTGTCATAATTAAACCATGAGTATTTTCAGTAAAGAGGACAATGTTGTTTCCAGCTTTAATTTCATGCAAAAATTTACTAATTATTTTAAAGTATTGTTTTTTAAAAATATAATGCTGAAACAGATCAGCTGAATTAAATTTTTTTTCTCTTCTTAAAAACTATGGATTTATTTTGTCTTCAATAGAGTTCTGAAAGTCAGTCAAGTCAGTATCTGAACATTTATTCGGACTGGGAACCAGGGAGATTATTTGATCTGGACATCATTGCTCGTAAGTATTTAGTGAATATACATATAAATAACATATTTTTGCACAAGAAATGATGTAGAAAATTAGATGTTATTTGTTCATTTTTCTTTATTCATTCTATTTTTTATTATGAATAAATATAAAAACAAAGAACATCATTTTGAGTACTAAATTCGCTATTTCTCTGCCCCTTAGCTTTTTTAAACTGTGATGTGTAAAATGTGGAGGACACTTCTATAAGTTTACTGTGATGTTTTTAGCAAAATAGAATATATATTATGACTTGCTAGTAACATAATACTTGTAATGGTTTGAGGAAAATAAAATAATTGAAACAACTTGAAAGTTTTCATCAGTATAATAAAAAATCTGATGTTTTCATGAAAACTGTATGATTTTGTTCCAAAATGTATCAGCTGTGTTACTATTAGGTCATCAAGAAATTAATGTTGCATTTTGGAACACTTTCCTTAACCACCCCCATAAAACGTACGTCACCTATAATAGTTAAATGAACTGCCTAAACACCACATTAGTTTAGCCTATATAATGTGTAAAGTTTAGTATACTCTAATCCCTTACAGTGATGGTATACGACCAGACACACATTTGGCATGTAATGCTGTTTGAATACAAGAAGGGAAATAATGCCTCTGTAGCCACAAATAATATAAAAGAAGTTTATGGATATGTTTTGAATGTTTGTAAGTATCAATAATGGATCAGTAAATTTTATTCAGGTGACTTTAGCCTTAAAAACTGTG